GGGGGGGGGGGGGGGAGTGTGGAGCTGGGTGTTGCTTTGTGTGTGTCCTGTGTTGACCATAGCAAGCAACTAAGTGCGTACCCAGCTGCTTGCGCATTCTTTTTCCTGCAGAGGGAATTGGAAGAGCAAAAGGGAGAAAAACTCATGTATTGGAAACAGTTTAACAAGCTAAGGAAAGAGACAAAAATAAGGGATGCAAAGGCAGTCAGTCAGTCACCACCTCCCACCAGCAGACTGATGCCCAGCCAGTCTCTGATCAGCGGCTACTTTGGAAGACTGTGCTCCCCAGCTTTTATTGCTGAGTGTGGTGTTATGTGGCATGGAATAGCCTCCTTTGGCCACTTCTGGTCGGCTGTTCTGGTTGTGTCTCGTCCCAGCCTCTTGCCCACCCCAGCCTACTTGGTGGGGGTGCAAAGTGAGAAACGGAGGCGGCCTTGAGGCTGTGTAAGCACTGTGCAGCAACAGCCCAAACGCTGGTGTATTATCAATTCTGTCACCAGTTAAGTCCAAAGTGCAGCACCGTACGGGCTGCTATGAAGAACATAAACTCCATCCCAGCCAGACCTACTAAAGCATATAATTATTGAGTAGAAGTTAGTTATACCATTGCCTCATTTTTGCTACCTTAAAAGAAGCAACTACTCCTCTACAGTCTTATTTTTTTGTTAAACAATGGTGATTCACTTTTTAATTGCAAGTACAAAGCCTGTACCTTTTAGCTTTTGGTTACCACGTGTAGCAAGTGCAATGCTAATTGTCACTGGACAGAGCTGTAAATTTTGGGAAACTAGATTTTGTATGGAAGTGGTTTGCTTATTCGAGTTCAAAGAATTAAATTATTATGATAGACAATTATTTTCTTTTCCTCACAGAAGAGAACTAAGCATAGAAACTATTTAGCTGATACTTTCTTTTGCATGTGTTTTCTGGTTTAGTACTGTTAAACCCAGTTGTGCATCTTTGCTATTTTAATTGTGTTTCTTAGGCAATACAATTACCGAGCTGATTTATTAGTAAAGTGGAGATTACTTAGGCCTGGAAAACCATATAGCCTCTGTTTATTGACTTATTTGTTTCCAAGTTCCTTTAAGCTGACTCTTAACTCCGAAGCTTCTGTGTGTTTGAGATTGTGCATGACCTGTCTTCCTGTTTCCTTCAGTGAGAATTGTCTTTTTTTGGTAGAATTTTGTAGAATTCTGGCTTTTGGAACATTCCAGGTTTGGGTATGTGGGGTAGTTATCTGTTGGGAATAATTTATAAGCTGCTGCTTTCTTTTTCTTCCTAAAGTTTCAAGTCTTGCAATACGTGTACTCTTTCAGTGGTGTCAGTCAATCACAAAAAGTAAATCGTCATTGACGTGAAGGCTTGGATTAATAGGTGTTGCTAGTTCAGTTCCTCATCTCTCATGCTGACAATGTACCTTTTAAGTTTTATCTCTTCTAAAACACAGAGAATTTTTTCAGCCTATAAAGCAAAGTATTTTGGACAGTTATGACCCAGGTTAATGAAAAGTGCTGACTGGATGTCCAAGGGATCTCCCCAGAGGGAAAGTCCATCCAGCTAGTGTTTGCTGAAAATTGCGCTAATGTGACTGCTTCAGAATTTAATTTGAGACAAGATAAAAAGCAAATCAAAACAATGTCTGTAGTCTCAAAAAGTTCAGACAATGATTCAACTGCTAGCACTGCTTAAAAAAAGCATATATGAAATAATAAACACCTCTTGCTCCCTTTATTGAAATAGTCTGCCTTGTTTTGAAAAATACAGGTTAAGTAGATGTGAAAACTCCATCTTTGAGGATTCTGTTTCTGGTGAAGTTAATGTAAATATTCCTGGTGAGTTTTGGGGTTTTGGATTGGGCATCTTCAAGACAGACAAAAGTAACTTTGGTAATTTCCTCAGGGCTGGGGAGATCTGGCAGTTAAAGATAACACCATCTTCAAAGTTCTCCTGTTCTTCAAATCCTACAGGGTTTAACCATATGGAGTAATGAGTGAATTCTCTCGCTCTCTTTTAATAGCAGGAACCAATATCATAACTGTATTCTTATGTCTCTTTTGTGTTTTAGAGTTATATTTTTGGAGTTAGTTGGTTTTAGTCTTTCCTAGGGTTAGAGAAAAAGAAGCAAACTTGTTTGCCTTCTTGCAATAATTCTTAGAGACCTTATTTATTATCATAAGAACTCATACACTGACCTTTTAATATTAAAAGTAAGATAAAATACTATTTATTACTAGCTGTAGCTTCTCTAGGGTCACTTCATATTTTAAAAACTGTACGAGTTAATTTTCCATGGAAACTCTACCATATCAGCCTTATCATCTTTAAAAGCAAAGATTGTACTGTGAGCAGATAGTATGGGCATTTAAGTAGTTTTCAAGGGATGGAAGGCCATTTGGCTTACAGGAGAACTGGGAAACAGGTGATTTTGCTGGAGCTGAGAAGTAAAAGCATGACCAAAGTCAGAAAGGAGAATGACAGAGTGGGTTTAAATTACTCTTTCTGCTCCTCTTTTTCTTGCTTTTTGTTTGCTTATAACTGCTACTGTCTCTTGACTGTTTTTTCATGCTGAGAAAATGTTCATGGATAGTGCTTTTCATTTTAATTGATCTCAAAAGTAAAAGGAAACATAAAAATTTTCATTCAAGCTTTTTAGTTTCAGAGTCCTTGACAACTTCTGACTGCAAATATATTTTTACGGTATGTTATCAATTATTTTGACAATAGGAGCATATGTACCAGTACAGTAGGCACATAATACTTAATTACACAGGTGAATACTACATTGTTTTTTTATGGGTTTAGTACTGCTGGTGTTTTACAGATACACATCAAAGGATGAGCCGCCTCGGGTCCTTAGTGAAGAGGAGATGAACAGACTGGGAGCAAGGATTGTGAAAGCAGAACTCATGGGAGACATGGTAACGTCTTTGAAAAATTGTCATGATTTACTGCAATTTTTCTTCAAAGGTCACAGTGATTTAGCTGTTTAAAAAAAAAAAGTATTGATTCAAACAAATAAAGTCCTGCAAAATTTGATCAGGTAGGATTTGAAGATACTGCTTTTACTGTAACTTCTGCTTTAAATGCAGTGGTTCATAGACTAGAATAGAGGATTCAGGTCCCCAGGTTTTGTAGGCTGGGCAGCGTATCCAAAGCCTGTTGTCCTCTGCCTTTTTTTATAGGATTGAATGTCTTTTTATTAAGCAGGGAGCAGGTGAAAACTACAAAGCTCCCAGTGTGTGTTACAAGGTCGACAGTGTCTGGAGCTTTTGTTATTTCACCAACTTTGTCAAAACTAGATGCTTGTGGTCCATAGCTCTGCTGTATAAGCATGCTTATTAATTATGATACGGGAATATAAAACTGAAAGAAACTGCATAGGCCATTGCATGCAGCCCTGCAATGAGAACAACTATGTAATCCTTTGTAGTCAGCTTCACAGAATGTCTGCCCTGGGTGAGACTGGGTCCATGGAGCTGAGATAATCAGCTGCAGGTTTAAAGTTGCTTTAGGAGGCTTGTTTCAGACAGCAACCTGAAGGATGAAGAATTTCACTCTTTTGGAACACTCCAAGCTGTAGAAGTGTATTTTTTAAATTACATTAAGTATGGCTATAGTGAGTTAATTGCATTCAGTAGTACTGCCTGAAAGTTTCAATTATAGCAAGGTCATAGTCTGTTAGTTTTTAAGCTATGTTTTACAAGTGCTTGCTCTGAATAGCTGCTCTTAAGAAGTACTGCTGAAATTATTTGAAGGATATAATACAATAACATCTCTTAGAAGTGAATCCTATCACTATTGGCCTTTTTTTTTTCCTAAACATTGTTAGTGCACCTGTTTACCTTGCCTCTCGTGACAGAATATTTGCACCCCTAAGAAGTAATAAGACATGTTACAACTTCAAGTGCCAAATTAATATTTCCTGGGAGCCATCAATTCTTTGATTTGTGGGAAGTTTTAGAGTATTTGGCATACAAATTTATTGCTGGATTAGGACATGGTGTTGGTCTTTGTGAAAGCCCCTGTCACACAAAATTTTGTTAGGAGAGTGTCCATCTTATAAATATTTTCTTTTCAAACAGATTTTATATTCTGAATTCTGAGTGTTAATGATTTAAGTAGATGCCTCCATGTTTTAATCTGTAGTTGTCCTAGTTAATATACAAAAAAAATATACTAGTGAGGAAAAAATCTGTTTATGAATGTAATTATATGATAGGTTTGTCTAATGCAGGACTGGCGTTAGTCACTATCGTGGTTTCAGCCCAGCCGGTAACAAAGCACCATGCAGCTGCTCGCTCACTCCCCACCCCCGGCCACGGTGGGATGAGGAGAAAATACAAAGAAAAGCTCGTGGGTCGAGATAAGGACTGGGAGGGATCACTCCTCACTTATGGTCATGGGCAAAAGACAGGCTCAACTTGTGGAAGAAACAAAATCAATTTAATTTACTACAAATCAAATTAAAAAAAGGGTATTAGGAAGTAAAACCAAACCTTAGAACACCTTCCCCCCACCCCTCCCTCCTTCCCGGCTCAACTCCACTCCCGGTTCTCTCCACCTCCTCCCGCGCAGGGGGACGGGGAATGGGGGTTGGAGTCAGCTCACCACACCTTGTCTCTGCCGCTCCTTCCTCCTCAGGGGGAGGACTCCGCACTCCCTCCCCTGCTCCGCCGTGGGGTCCCTCCCACGGGAGACAGTCCTCCACGAACTTCTCCAACGTGAGTCCTTTCCGCGGGCTGCAGTCCCTCACAAACTTCCCTGGCGTGGGTCCTTCTGCGGGTCGGTCTTCAGTCACACGCTGCTCCAGCACGGGCTTTGCCATGGAGTCACGGCCATCTTCGGGAGCCTCCGCCTCTGCTCCACCGCTCCCCTCCATGGGCTGCAGGGGGACAGCCTGCTGTCTCGCCACGGGCTGCAGGGGCATCCCCTCCTCCAGCGCACCTCCCCTTCACTGACCTCGATATCGGCAGAGGGGTTCCTCTCACATTCCTATCCCCCCACTCACTACCGGTTCCCCTTCTTAACTCTGTTCTCCCGGAGGTGCTACCGCTGTCACTGATGGGCTCGGCCTTGGCCAGAGGCGGGTCTGACTTGGAGCCAAGGTAGCTTCTAGCAGCTTCTCAGAGAACGGGCCCTGTGGCCCCTCCCCTGCTACCAAAAAAACCGTGTCACACAAACCCGTAACAGTCACTTAAGATAATTATTTTAAGGCGTTTTCCTACAGGGGAAAATGATTGAAGCTATCTGTACACTACTTGCCATAAAGTACTGGGGAGGGGAAAGTTTTCCAAAGACTCTTATGGAGAGCAGCGAAAATTTGTAAACTTCTTTTTTTGTACTGCTCAGCTTCAATAGCATTGTCCAAATAAAAGTTTGGGCACAAGTGTGAGTTTTTTCAACCTGACAGTAACTGAATAAGAGTAATCTGAATAAAAATATAGAGGTGTTCTGTGGGGAGAGTGTGATTCTTTTATTATTCTACCGTTTTGACCAAAATAACGTAGCAGAGGCAAACGTTACCATTTTACTGTTAATTTTATATGCACATTTTTCTACATCTGCACTCTGAATTAACCTAATTAAAAAAAAAAAAAACCACAACCAAACACAGTATAAATAATAAAACAGCTAATTTTTGCCTTGTTGCTGTTTAAATATATTTTCATGGACTTTCTCTGGTCAAATTGAAAAGGCAGCTTGTTTAAACAAGTTCATCCCCACACACCGAACAGATGGTTATGTAACAGCCTGTCCTGGTGGCCAGAGCTCAAGGTTGACCATGTGGGACAAATGAATTCTGAATCTGTTTTTGTTAGTGACTTGCTGCTTGGTGTTGATCAAATGACTTAATTTTGGGGTGGCAAGTATAGGAATGATTGTTGGAGTCCAATCAATGAAATGGCAAAGTGGTCACAGTATAAATGGTTGTATTTCTTATAGGTTGATAGGTTGACACCTGGCAATTCTTAGCAAACCAAGATAGTAAAAAAATACTTGTATTTATTTAATAAACAGATGGATGAGAGAGCAGGAGCATCAAAAACAATTTACACAAGACTGTAAACAGTTGTCATTTTCCACCTCTTGTCCATTTTAATACCCAAAGTGAGGTCTTAAGTGCCAATATTGGACATGTGGTGTAGAGAGATGGGAAACTGCACAGCCAAAATGTCTAAGAGAGAGTTCCCTAGACCCACTGCGTGGGGGGTTGTGTGTACATATGTGAGTGTGTGTGTATATATATAAAAATAAATAAAAGGATATGTAGCATAACATGGAAAGGTTGTACACTTGATGTGTTCAGGCTTCCTTATTTGGCTTCCTATACATAAAGTAGTATCTATGCTTAGCTACATAGAACATTTATTAGTATAACTGAATAATGTTTAAGCATAATTTTTCTGGTGTTTTTATGACTGTATGTTTCTATACTTTAGATGCCTCTGTTCTGAACAATTTTTTATTTTTATCTCCAGTAAAGAATTGTGTGAATTATATTGATGTTTTCTTTAGTTTTTTTGTGTCATCCAAGTTTAAAAAAATATATCAAAACATAAAGAAATGGAATTAATAGTTAATTCTGATATAAAGATCTGTAGAGGTTTAAAATGGTTAAACTAATGGAGTACTACCACTTTCTTTGAAGGAGTTAGCTTCAAAACTTCAAGCAGAACTTGAGAACGCTCGCAAATTGAGAGAGACTCAAGGGCAGATTCCAGCAAAGTCTGGCAGAGAGGTAAGGGGAAAATATTCTTTTTTTCTTTATGCTAACACAATGGTATAATACAGGTAGCAGCTGAATTATAGGAAATGTGAAACGTACTTAGGAAAACTACAAGGTGTGACTTTAGGCAAGTTACTGTTCTAATTGAATTGTACTTTTTCATGGTAAACAAAACTTTCTCCATTGTACTTTAGTAACTTCCATAGGATTTTTTTTACTGGTAATATTTTCTCAGCAATGATATATATCTTCCATTAAAAATAAAACTGATATATGTCATGTTGTTGACTGTGCTGGCTGTCACAAAACTGATGTCTCTGAAGAAGCTGGCACTTCAAATGTTGTTCTTTTTAAAGGGTGGTGTTCAAGAAATGGATAGTAATCTTCTTCCATACCAACTTTGATATAGCTACAAGGAAACAGGGTCAGTATCTTCATGTACGAGCTCTGTCCTCATGATGGAGAGGAGACTTTTAGGCAAAAACTAATGTTCTTGTTCAATTTGACACCAATTCCACAGTGAAAATTCAGCTGCAAGTCAGCTGAGTTTGAAAAGCCACTAATTTTTTTTTTTTTTTTTGAAAAGGCTTCATCTCAGACCTCATACCTTGACTAATATTTCTCCAGTCTTTAGAAGACAGACTCAACTGGAGGTTAATGTGTGGCCTCTTGGTGACTACATTATGACAATAGCATTAAAGTAGGAAGTCTCAGACCTTGAACTCAGAAGAATTTAAGATTACAAAAGCTCTGTGTAGGTAGACTCTGCTTTGTTGCAGTGCAATTCTTAGGCATGTTCTTTGTGTATATACAAAAAAACCTGAATGAAGCAGATTGGAGTTGTGTAATTATACAGGAAAAAATCCATTCAGATTTTAAAATTGGAAAGTAGAGGGCATGTTATGGGTGGTCCTCAGAAATGCTGGTATGTAGGGTTTAGGGTTATTCCATGCGGGGTCCGGACGATAGAACACCAATATGATGATTAAAGTCGCTAGTTTATTGAGCCTAGCTGATCATTCTTATGCAATTCTCTAAGTTGGTTAGAAGCTTTGATTGGTTGCGACATGCAAGCATTTGGTGTCCACGCGCACAAGCATAAACTGTGATTGGTTACATCGATACTGTCCACGCGTATAAACATAAGATACAGTTAGTTATACTCACTTTGTACACGTGCATACACACAGGATATAATTGGCTATGTTAGCTACAGCATGTAAAACTTGTCTCAGTCCAATTGGTCGAGATAAGCCCCTGAATTGAGGTTGTTTGTGCCAAGTTCCCTTTATCGTGGAATGTGCACCTGTGTTTTTCTAATTGGGATCTTTCTTTTTCTATCTTCTTGTTTATTCTGTTCAAGGCCTTCTAAAGGCGTCTGGAACGCTCTTGTGACCATGAGCTACTTTCAGGCCCAGTAACTAAGTTCCCTATAATCGAACCCTACACTGGTAAAGACTTCTTCCTTAGAAATTGAGTCACGAATAACAATTTTGGTCAGCCTTAGTCTTAACTATAGTCTGATTTTTATTTTAATTTCTAATTAATGGATTTTTAGAACTAACAGCATGTAGTCATTGCAAAAGTACCAAATGTAAATACTACTTTAATTTTCAGAAAGGAAAAATAATTAAAAAAAAAGAGTGAAAACATACTTAGCGTGAGGCCTCTCTTTCTAGCTCTCTTGATCCTGAGGGCAGTTGATCTCACAGCTTGTGCTTTTACCAAGTGATAGGCTGCTCTGCAAGAGGGAGATTCCTCCCTACATGTAGAAACACCAAGCTCAGCAATGCAAGGGTTTGACGATTCAGAAGGATAAAGTGACAAAGAAGAAATAGTCTGCATCCTTCTGGCCTGACATGGGTCCTGATCTCTCTCTGGACTGGCATCTGAAAAATGTATGAGTAGTCCAGGAAGAGCCTTACTGAAAAAGAATGGTGTATTATAGACTTGGCTAGATTGGAAATGCCATCTTGCTGTCCTAAAGCCTCAAAGGGATTGACTTACTCACTTCTACTCATGGATATGCTATAAGATAATTATGATCTTTGTTTTATCTTTTGTGTGCCTGTCCATATTGTTTTGCACTCTTGTGTGCTTATTTACTCAAGCTGGGTCTTGGGACTTAGAGGCCATGTCCATTCCTTGCCCTGCATTCCCTTTTAACATGCTGGAAAAGGTTGTGAATACCCCTAGTCTGCCCCCTCTTTCTTCCTCTCCTGTGGGAGCTTGACTAAGCCCCCATTGACCACCTTAGTGTTGTAATTGATAGAAGCTTCTTTGGAAGATTGAAGGGATTTAAAAACAGGGCTCTTTCCTCTCTGAAGTATCTTGGATGCAAAATATCTACCTGTATGAGTTCCATGTTGGCTCTCTGAAGCTCAGGATCAGCTGCTTACATAATTCCAGATGTAGAAGCTTGATTTTAAGTCTGTTCATCTCAGAATGCCTATTTTTATGTTAGAGTCCATCTGTCTTGCAGCAATGTTCTTTAGTTTGTGGGAGCCAGCACTGTTGACAGTCCTGCTGTTTTGGACTTTCTGTGGTTTGGCAATGCAAATAGTTCCTTACAGATACAACGGGCTTGATGTTTGTAATTGTGGGAAGGTTAGCTCCTGAGCTGCATCATGCCAGAACAGTATCAACCTCTTTATAACTTGCTGTAAAGTAGCTTAACTTCTTTGGCAGACTCCCCTGACCATAGTGAAAACCTTGAAGTTTATTTGAAGTCATTCAGGTTTTAATTACTGCCAGGGCTTGCTTTCCAGAGGGTGAAGGTCCTCCTTTACATTTTAGAGGGTTGCTGTCTTGTCTTTATGAATATGCCTTGCCTGCGCCTGTTTCATGGCAACTTCTAGCCTGTATTATGTGCCTTTTGACTGTGAACAGTCCAGTAAAGCTGACATTTGCTCTGTCCTAAGTCCTATCCTTGTGATAGTTGCCAGGGTAGTCTTACTGGCTTTACAGCTTCAAACTGATACCGTATTACTGGGACACAAGCAGAATGTGTTGGATGCTCCTGTGTATCAAGGGCCAGCTATATCACACTGTGTGTCTGAACAGCCCAGATGTCATAACACAAAAGAGGCTGATTTGTGAAGGTGCATTTGATACTGTATTAATCAGTCTTTCTATAACATTGACCACCCAAACGATAGCCTCAGTCAGTTCAGCCAGATGTATTGGAAGTAAGATAGCTGAAGCAGTTTTCACAGAAGTGGTTTTCTGAATGGATGTCCCAAAGTTTGATAGCTTTGCCTGTGCTACAGATAACAAACTCAAAAGCATTTTGTTTCGGGCAGGTCTGTCTCTGGTTCCTTGGAGCGGCATGGCCAATGTCATGCTGAAAGGTCCTGAAACATGGCTTTGGTTTATTTTCACTTCTGTTGGGAGAACTGGGGAGATAAATCAGGAAGCAGGGAAGGCAATTCTGAATGCATCTCCCTAGGGAGGCTTTTTTTTTCTTCTTGATTAATTGAACATGGATCAGTTTCCCAATTCAGTTCACTGTGTGACTTAATGAAGACTTGTGCTAGTATAAGGGGGTGTGCATGGGTGGCTGAGGTTTGTACAGAGGACAGGATCAATTCTTTTGACAGCGGTGCTTGTTTATTCTGCCTTAAAGTGATCAAGAAACTACAGACTTGAAGGGATTGTAAAGTGGTAGCTTAAATCCTGGTTTTATTTATTTGTTTGTTTGTAAGTGAGAACAGAGGCAAATCTAGCTTTTATAGTTTATTTGATTTAGACAAGAATTCTACCCCAAGCAACCCCAAAAATGTGGTTTGGAAGTACAGTTTTCAAATACTGATGTTTGGTGCTTAAAAACCTTACATTTATTAGCTGATATATTTCACCAAGTGTACAGATCCTGGTAAGACTATTTTGTTACTAGTTTTTGTTTTGGCCAAAGTCATCCGTTGTTTTGAAACCTGTTCTTTGTGATGCATTTAGATGTTGCAAGTAGAGATTTCCAACTGAAAGATGCCAAAAAGCATGAATGTATACATCTTTCTGAACTTAGAATAGCAAGAAAATTGTAAAAGATACTGAAGGAGAAGAGAAGTCTACAGATGCATCCTGAGTAAGCCCACTTGGGTAATTTTATAGCAAAAATTTACCTTTAGGAAGAGGATTGTTGTTGTTGTTTTCTTTTTTTTTTTCTTTTTTTTTTTTTCTTCTTTGTTGTTGGTAGTTAGTGTGATGTTTCTATTAAATGAAGTGAACACCCACAAATAATAATGTTATAGGTTTTCTGTGTATGAAGTTATCCCAGGATAAAATTCAGTACAGGCTAAAACATGTTTGGATTCTCTTGATACTGGAAAAAAAAAAAGTAACTTTGTCTTAAACCATTTTTCAGCAGTATTGAAGTGTTCCTTTTATGTACTACCAGCCCTCATTTTGCCTGTCTAATATTTGATTTGTTTTTAACTACTAGCCTTCCATGTGTCTAAAGTGCAGACAAGATGAAAATTTATTAGTTGAGTTGTTCTTAAAATTGTTTGTGGCTTTTGAGTGGCTTATAAATGGAATTCTTTTGCCTGAATTGAGATATGAATTTTTCAGTAAAATTTATGTGTTTTTTTTGAAGAGGTTAGTTTATACATATATATATTCCTCTTGAAGACATATGAGTAGCTGTTATCTTGTGTTTTTGGTACTTCATGAAAAATACTAGGTAATATTGTTTGGGGATATTGGTTCACTAATGTTGTTTAATTTTTTCCACATTTTTTTTTCCTCCTTAAATATTTAATTTCTCAATTGCACTTTTCCCTACTTCTTTCCTGTAGCTAATTTTTTGGATAAAATATCTATATCTATAAATAAATACAAATATATACACACACACACACATATATATATATATATGAAACCCAAATAGAGGGTAGGTGTTTTTTAATGGCTTCTGAACTGGTGTGCTATCATAAGTATTTTCCTAGTAATTTGTGTTAGGAGAGCTAAGAAGCATTGCTGTTATCAGGCTTAATGCCTGAATATGCAGTTAA